CTTATGTTATGGGCGGAGAGGCCTAGCGAATGAGTATGCTTCTACCTATCATACAGAAGCTAAAAGATAAGAAAAAGAGAAGATAACTAAGTACAGACTTCTCTTATACCTGCTCGCTTCTGATCACGTGTCCGTACAGAAGGTATATCACGTGGTCGAAGATCACGTGATCCTCTTCAGTAGAGATCACGGGCGCAGCCCTTTACAAGACCATTATCACGTAATCTATATATCTACTACTACTATATATATAACTATTAGCTATATAGCTCTATCTACTATAGAGTTCTAAAAGTTCAAAATCTTTTAGAATTTTTCCAAGTATTTAAGTTATTATAGATCTACCTAAAGCTGCAGTAGAATGTCACGTGACACCTATGTAAAAGACTAGAAGATCTTAGCTTTAAAACGCACTAACTTCTATATCTATAGCCACTATAGCTGCTGAGTAATTATCTTTTAAAAATAATAACTTTTTTTCTACGTTTTTTTTTGTCACCCCACTGTATCTTTTCATGAAAACAAGTCTATCTACTTACAGAAGCTCTATATTTGATTTACCAGAGTAGATATTAAGTAATTTACTAGTAGTAGGGTTGCAGCAGGAATATCAGTTCCAAGTTGGCTTTAGTATACCGTCAGTGCTCGGCGAATGCTTTCTCCGAGTTCACCCGTCGACCGAGACCTTGTAATTGTTGTTAGGAATGTTCTGCAATAGATGGACACGTAGGTTTTCTCCTCATGAATACCGAAAGTCTAAGGCCTGCCATGCATATGAGAAAACGTAGCCTCGAAACCGTCAGGTTCCATATTCTTAGTACTGAACCCAAACGCGGAAAGAGCATTTGTTCCTCACGCGCCCAATTCCACCCCCCAAAGTGCCCAGAAAACAGCGTGCTTGAATTGTCGTGCAAAGAAAGTGAGTATCTTCTTTCACTACTTTCTGGAACTTGCAGCTGTTGCTTGTGCACTGCTAACACAATCCACAGCTCAGATGCGAGGGCCAGAAGACAACGTGCGACCAATGTAACTTCAAGCAGCTGGAATGTGTATATTCTCGAAATGGTAACTATGATTCCAAAAGGAATTGGAAAACGAACAGGGCTCGAGATGAATCGAATTTCGTAGCGAAGACCAAGGTTTCTAGTGCTGGCGGTGAAATCCGCCCTGAACCAGAGTGCCATACAGCAGAGGCAGGGCTTGGATTTGAGAGCACAAATCCATAGCCCATAAACTTCATATATGAAGAGTTCCTGGATCTATCTGACACGTTTGATTTTGAACACTACTGGGAGCCGCTGGAAAGTGAGCCTTCTACATTTAAACTTGGAAAATGAACAATCTTATTGAAATGAACAGCAGGTGAGATATTCGGGGACAGCTCCATAAATTTAATGAACATAGATATTGACTCTATAACACTTCTCTCAATTTCAAGCAACAGCTCAACAAACAAAGATGAAGCTCGTCTTCAAAGTACAGAACAAATTCCCTTCTCGAGGATATACTTACACTCCGCTTAACGAACAGTTTCAATTACTGTTCCATTGTAACCAGATAACTCTGTTATGGACCAGATGGCCAATATAACGACTTCCGTCTTGAGCAGAATATCCCCACTGAAAACTCAATGAGAAATGGTGAGAAAGCACTCGGACAGGCAACGCATCCAACAGACCTCATCTCCAACAATGCGCATGATCTCTTGGTGTTCTACATAATCCCAGAATCAACTCATAGAATGCCTCTAACATCTGGCTCTTTCTAAGCAGGACTTGAAGAATCGTATCAGGCCACTCAAAAGCAGAATGCCTCCTCCGTCTCGACATCACTGGCCACCTATCATTGTTCAAGTATGGTTCTAGAAACTTTGAAAAAGGTCGGCAGGGGGTCTGTGCACAGAGAAACTCACCAGATACATCAAGCTTTTAACATGAATAAGGAAATTCTGGATCACTTATCGGTTGGGGCTGCATGTTTGGTATACGAACCATCAAAACGATCTTATGATGTTGATGGAAACTACTTTCGAAAAGACTATTGATTCGTTTGATCGCACGGCAAAGCGATGTGGAAGTAAGATCATGAAGTTGGAGTGGCAATCTTTTGATCTGTTTTTTTTGTCAAAAAGATAGTTCCAGCCCGTTAGAAGAAGCAAAATAGCTTTCTTCTTATTTAATTAATGCATCACAGCATCATTTAGGAGGACTACATTTTGTTAATCTTACCCAGATCATGATTGATTCTGTTATGCATTAATCAATAATCTCTCACACTAATATTCTCTGCCCTTACCGACGGTCCGACTGTCCAGCTCTCTTATATCGTACTGATTTGCAGGAAGTTCCTGAGGCACCGCTCGAACTACAGCAAGTGTAGGCGACTTTACATCTAGTATTGTCTGCAACTCTGGTTCTCGTACTGCTTTTATTGCCGCGTTACCTAGCCTTTGTCTCCGATACAGAATAAAGCCGATGGCACCAAGTAGGGCTAGACCTCCCAATGCACCAGCAATTATACCGCCGATTAAGCCACCTGATAGCTCTGACGCTTCATTTTGTGGCACTAGGACGTTGACGGAAGAGGTTGGCGAAGGTGCAGCATCGACTGATCTACCCGTCGAGTTCGTGCAAAACTCGCTAATCATGTTATTCTGTTTGTCGACTGCGACTACATTAGGGGTTCTCGACCCTGTGTTCGCTTGCCAGACGGAAAATCTCTCTGCTTTTTGATTGACCATTATATAGGCTGAGCTCATAAACAGTCGGCCAAGGACTGGCAGATCGTTGCCATTATAGGACTGAAGGGAATTGATAACGACGTTTCGCACCGATGTATTCGTCTGCACTGCGCCATTGGAGGCAATTTATGTGTCGGGAACAACGAGTTCGGTATTGGGAATCTTCACTGAGATGCTGTTGTGAAGCTGGATCGTCAGACCTCCGTAATAACTACCTCATGATCATTAGGTTGTGTATCTTTTGAACATGGATAGCTATGGCACTTACACGTTACTCAGATCAAACAGCATTGTAAAGTAGTTAATACCAAGGCTTCTTGCATCAGTCATGTTATCTGGAAGTGTTCCGCCCGCGAGCAATCTGAAGTTTTTGTAATAGCTTAGTGGAAGTGTCATTAGTCCCGCGAAGCTAGGACTTATGCATGCTTGTATCGCCGCTGATTGTGACCCCATAAGGACGCTCATGTCGGTACCGTTTGGCCAGTTCAGAAGGATGTCGCTGATCATTACTACCATGCCCGTCCTACAGCGGCTGCCTCGGAACAGTGATGCTGTGGAGTTGTCATTTGGATTTGAAATCAACGATCTGTCCAGACCGCCGAGAACCAATGACCCTCCAGTCTGCTTTTCGGCGGGACCACCGACGAGTCCCCAAAATATGGAGTATACTTTCGTACCTATGTCGCCGGCAGATACAAGTGCTTGTAAAAACGATGAATTCCTGCCCAAGCCGAGCTGTGATTGGCTGGTGAAGGCCTGATTGAGGTCTTGTTTCGGAACGCCGAATCCAAACAAAGAAAGCGATGTGTTTATACCGAAGCTAAGAGTATCTTCCATCCACTCCGCTTTAAAATCATCACTATCCTTTCGACTGCTGATCAACTTGTCTGTAGACGATTTCGATGCATCGTACGCTCCGCCACGGAATGTTACGCATGCTCCCGATGAGTAGGAATCTGTACAGAATCCATTCGTTCCGTAAACATAGGTCTCATTGTAACCTCTGTACGCCGCACTTGTTAGCTATGCAGAATCTTTAACACTCCTTGGGACATGTATTGTAAGACTTACCCGCTGGCGAAGAAAGAGATTTTCTGATTGTTGGAGCCGACAGTCATAGAGATTCCCCTCACATAGGCTCCATTTGGCAAAGATACATTCTGAATAGGTGCAACAGTGGGCTATGGTTGGCACTGGCTATTAACAAAGGTGACGAAATGCAAACCTCCCAGAGTCGACAGGAACATGCCCATTGCAATGGTGATGTTGAAGATGACGACGCAGAGAAGTACTCAAGGGCCAGTGACTAGTAGTATAGGGAAACAATAAGGCGGCAAGGTACTCCCAGCCGATAGCGCTTAAACGAGTAGCAGAGCATGTTCATTCGAATTCGATGTTATGTTGTAGCCAGGTTATGCCCGTCCACCAACCAGCGAACATTGCTATGCGCTGCCAAACTCCGCTTAGCGCCGACCCTGACCTCTCTGCAGCAATGTCGATTAGCCCCACTCCCCTGTGCGAATCTAGATATTAGCTGAGCTGTGCCGCAATGCCACATTGCGAGATTGCAGGCTACAACAAAAGCTCTCCTATGCTTGTCGCAAGAAGCGCCCTTCGCATTTTCCAAAAGAAATATTTTAGGCCTCACAACCCCATTTTTTTCTCTTCATGTCCTGGTAATCAGCATCTCCTCTGCTCTCCTTGCATCACCTGCGCACGTACGTGTGAAGCAGATACCAAGATTCCACGATATCCGTTCGAAAATATTACAGAAGCAATCAATCACATGTCAAATTCGATCGCCTCTGGAGTAACTTAAGCACTAACCATCACAAAATGATGCATTCCCGCAGGAGAATCGAATTCATGGTGGTTGCAATGTTCATGCTCGGCGTATGGTTCCTCGTTGATGCGCATTTCAATAATTTTGGAGAAGACCCTATTGGGACCAGAGTTACTAAGAAGCCATGGCGGTATGACGCAAAAGAAGAAGAAAAAGAAGAGCATAAAATAGTGGATCAGGAAATTGGCGATGGTGTCATGAAGCAGGAAATGTCATTGGCTTCCATCATCCCTCAGCATTCGAGTACTCCGACTCAAAGTCATGCGGTCGCGACTCCCAGCCCATCTCTACCCGATCGCGTTGTAGTGATGGCAAAGCTTCCCACAGACGACACACGCTGGGTACATACCGACCTACCAGACTGGCAATCAGCCATTTACGACATCGACACTGAGACTCCACACAAGACATCGAATCTGGATCCGCTCACAAACAGTACGCTGCATACGCTTCGGAACAAAGGAATGGAAGCAAATGCATACCTCGCATACATTGTGCAAAATTACGATAACCTCCCTTCAACAATCGCCTTCATTCATCCACACAAGGACGGCTACCCAATCGCCTGGCATACTGACAACAGCGAACATTCGAATGTAGTCTCTCTACAAACCCTCAACATCAACTTCATCCAAAGTAACGGCTATGCGAATCTGCGGTGCGTTCCTGATCCTGGCTGCCCGCACGAGGTAATGCCGTTCCGAGATCCGCCGGAGGAACATCGAACAATCGAAGCAGCGATGCCAGATGCGTGGCGAGATTTGTTCAACAACACAGATGTACCACACATACTGGCGACTCCTTGCTGTGCACAGTTTGCCGTGTCGAGCAAGCAAGTGCGGAGGCGGCCGTTGGACGAATACAAAAAGTACTATACGTGGTTGATGCAAACCCCATTAAAGGATGAGACCAGTGGACGGGTGTTCGAGTATCTTTGGCATATTTTGTTTGGCCAAGCGCCGGTCTAGTAAGTACTCAGTGAACCAAAATTGCGATGCGCGGTTGCTGACTTTGATTAAGCTGTTCTGCATACGAGAAGTGTTATTGCGATGTGTACAACAAATGTTGAAGCATCCTTGTTCTGTGTAAGATCTGCACAGCCTGGGTGTTTGTCGGCAAAATGATCAATCATCTTACTGAAAGATCGAAGCCGATGTGAACATGCGCTCAAGTTCCTAGCGTGAAGATGCAACGCGCCGTCATCATTCTCAGCAAAGCATGGCACGTGGAAATGCTATTCATACTAGATGGAAGCCATGACTTGAAGACCGAAAGTCTTTTTTGGTTTTGTACGGACCGGACGGTCGTATGTCGGGTAAGACCTGCCTAGCGCAGCAGATTGGGTATCGGGTCGACGATTTGGATCAACACGAGTGGCGAGAGATTCGGCAGACGTAGAAAGTAGCAGCCCGAGGGCTCTGCTGGTACTAGGCTCGTGTTGATGGAGTTAGTGAGCTGCTAGTTTGTGCCGAGGTAGAAGCGCATGCAGGGCCGTGGATCTTGGGTCTGGCTATGTTTGGTAGGTATCACGCATCTGTGGATTGTATGTTGCCGTAATTAGAGGCTGGGCATGTGCAATACTTTGGGTTAGTACATACATATGTACTACGGTGTCGCCGAGGGAAACTTTGCAAGACTGTCAATGGGTGAGCGAATGCCAGGCTGATTGTTACCAGTCCACAAGGTTGTGTGTTTGTGCAGTGCATCTAGAAAGTGCGAGACGAAATGTTTGATGGGTCCACGGATGGAGGAGAATTGCAGAGTTGCTGGGGCAGCAAGTCGAGTGCAGAGAGGCCATTGGTGACGTGACGCAGGTAAAGTGGTGGTGAATTAGCGGCGGGAGACAAAGAGGGGCGGGTCCACAAGTGGAGAGAGGGTTGCAAGCTTTCTCTCGCTTGCACTTCCTCCACCCTCGCCCCTGACCCGCGCGATGATGAGCAGACAGCCATGAGCGTCATTCGCCCTCGTATTCTTCTCAGACACGGTTAGTTCCCCACATTTGCTGTGGCAAGACCAGCAGCCGTTGCTCTCATGGCCATGCTTGCGCTGGGAGCCCAGGGCGAAAGGGGTCCGCGGAGACGAAGACGCCAAGGCAATCAATTGGGTGCAACAGGCACAGGTCACCATATAAAGAGTTGGATAACTGCATGGGGCTTTGCACGACGTGTGCCACTCGCAGCGGGATATTGCCAAAGCCGGTTTCTTGGTCCAAGCCACACAGTTTACTTGCCCGCAGCTGTCTCGAAGATAGCTCGTGTCGCGGCGTGGCAGTCCATGACAGACGACATTGAGGTTACATAGACGTGGTTGGTCTTCCGGGCGCAATGAAAGGCCGGCGCATTGGTTTCGCGACACGAGAGTGCTGTCAAGCACAAGAGATCGACAGCTTGCTACGACCTAGGTTGGGGCAACCTTGAGAGCGAAAGCGAATGTGGACCCGGCTTGGAATAGTGCCTGTGCAAGGAATGCGAACGGGTATACTACGATGACCTCACCGTGACCGTCAGCTTTCCGGCAACTAACCAACCGATTACACGGCCATGGGATGGAAGCGCAGTCAATTGGCTCAACGGGCAAAAAAAAATAGCTCGGTTAGAGCTTCGCGTGTTGTATCAGCCTGTCCTGTCAAACAGCGCTGGGGGTGCGCCATGGTTGTGCAGTTGTGCTCAGCCATGTCTCTCTTTCTCTAACATGTTGTACCTCTGCGCCCTCGTGAGCCCCCATTCACTCTCACCTCACTCTCTTTGGCTTTTCACGCCAACTTTCGAGCCTCACCAGACCTGATTTTGCCCCATCACTGTGCATTCATCTGTCGCTCCATTGTTCCCTCTATCCTTCCCTCGTAGCATCTACCTAGCCAATTATGCCATCTGCGCTGGCGCTGCGGCGCATTGCCGTTGTCACTGCTCTGGCAGCTTGTGCGACTGCTCAACAGTGCTGTAGGATACTTTCAACTATTTCTTATGCACCCTCACTAATTGACAACAGACTACCCCAATGGCGACAAGGCCCCCGATACTGAGCAGCCTTGCTCCTCAGCAGAAGGCTCAGCCTGCTGCCCGGAAAAATGGCAGTGCCTTGACAATGGCCTTTGTCACTATCCTGCTAATAATTTGTACGGCAGATATAGCTGTACTGACAAGAGTTGGAAGTCGGAAGGCTGTCCCTCCAACTTGTGCACTTACGGTTAGGTCTCTGACAACTTCATTTGGACAGGGCTAACAAGCATCAGATCTCAAAGCTGCTGGCGGCGAGTCGATAACAAAATGCTCCGACCACAACGACCAGTGGTGCTGTAACGCTGATGCTGTGCATGTCAATTGCTGCCAAGAGTCTCCATCTCCGCGACCCTTCTTTGCCCTACAGAATCCAGCAGCATATGCCACTATTGGCTCCATGACAGCATCAACCGCACCAAACCTTGCAAGCATAACAGGCCAAGCAAGTGGAAGTGGCTCTGGAGATCAGATGTCAGCATCGCCAACATCTGCGCCCCAGTCTTCTTCACCATCTTCACCCGCGTCCTCGCCGCCGACTTCAAATACCCTATCGTCTCCTCCCTCACGTGATTCATCTGTATCGGCAGATGCGCGCTCATCTGCTACACCATTCACTTCGGTCTTTTTCAGTCTTTCATCAGGGTCTACTGGATTTGTCAGTGTCCCTGTCACAAGCGTCCTCACGCCTACTTTGGGCACTAGCAATGCAGCAAACGGTGGCGGTAATGAGGGCGGATCAAACTCGAACTTGGGGTTGATAATTGGCTGTGCAGTGGGCATTCCTTTGGGACTTACTTTGATTGGCATCGTCCTCTTACTTTTCCGGAAGAGGCGCCAACAAAAGAGTAACCCCTACAGCAAAGCTGATGGAGCGGATGAAGACAACTCAAACATTGCAGGTACTGCTGGCGCCAAACTGACAAAGGAGGATATGTACCGTAACTCCGCGTCTGCTGCTGAAATAGATGGAAACCCTATAGGCGTTGGGCGACCAGTCTCCACTGTTCAAGGCCACGCAGAACTGGCATCAGGAAATGGATTCCAGGCAGGACACAGCACGCCCTACAGACCAGATGCAGTTGGCATCGGTGGCGGAAATCTCCATCCAGATCGAAACACTTGGAATAGTGTGCCACCCCGATACTCGCCGGGGCAAAGCCAAGCGCCTTTTAGTCATCTAGCAGCGAGCGAGCTAGCAGATACAAGCATCAGACCAACCGTCAATGAGAAGGGAGAACAACAGTATGTGGCATACAAACCGCAACCAGCAGCAGAGATGCCGACTATAACGACTCCACCCGAGGATGTGGAGAAGAATTTGCGTCCGTAAAGAAGGACCAAAGCCTAGATGCTTTTGATGGAGAACATGCATGCACATGGTGCGCTGCATGATACAGATCTAAACTTTTCTTTTGTACATATATTATAAGGGGAAATGGCACGTGTAAATGAGGACGTGGCCGATATGATGGCTGGATATCTGGACTTTTGGATAGTATTTAACGGAGACAGCACTTGCTCATAATAGCTGGCATAGATACTATATACCATGACTTGGATTGATTGCACGAGCAAGTCCGGAGAGTATACCACGTGATGTGGCTTGGCTCACGTGACTGAAGTATGGCGGTGTGTAGTACTAGTACATATTCAGTATGTATGGGGGTGAGCGAGTCATGTCACTCGGCCCTGTCGTCAGCCCTCGAAAGGGCGCTCAACGATATTGCCAGATAACCGTGTCGCATCCGGTGTTTACATGCCAGGTGCTCGCTCTACTACCTCCTCATGTTGTCTTACACATCCTCGTATATTCAAGCATATTTCAGTCACCATGGAATACTTGCCAGATGAACTTGCGCTCCATATCATCTCATGTAGGTGCTCGGAGATAGCATACGCACCATCCATCCCGACCCCCACTCTGACCGACCAACTACCTAGACCTCGAACCCTCTGAACTCGCCAACCTCCAGCACGTGTCCCGCCGTTTCCTCAGCATCTGCCGCGATAACAATCTATGGAGGTCCCTGTGTTTCGCGCATTCTGCTGCTGAGCGCCGCCGTCGCCGTCTCGAGTTGTCGACGGACATTGACCCGCGACTTGCTGAGCTGATCCGCGCTGCCGACACGCTCTCGACTACGTTTGACACGTCCGGTCACAACGCCGATGCTCCCAGCGCTGAGATACAGCAGGAGAGGGACAGAGAGAAGAGACGACAGGCCTTGATCACCAACTGGGATCCAAGCTATCCCGAGGAGAAAGTCAATTGGTACCAGGACTTTATACAAAGGCATGCCGAACAGCAAATCGGTTGGTTCCAAGATGCAGGGAGTGAGAGTAAGGATGATGGAGAGATCAGGAGAGATGCTACGGGTGCAGGCATTTTGTTCGACCATGATGGGCTGGCGGAACACCTCATTGCACCCCTCGACGACGGCAGTATAAGCATCTGGGATGCTTCGGCAAGTAGCGAACGCTTCGGCAAGGTCGTTGCGAAGAGTGATATCGGTTTGCTACCCGACAAGAGCTCCGACTTGGACTATGATACGAGGGTTACACAAAGTCAAGCCATCATGACGGAAACAGGCGCTGTCGAGTGTGTGAGCATCGATAGCAAGCTGCACAAGGGCTTCTTCGCTGTCCAGAACATGTTGAACGAGGTTGACCTCAATGTTCTCAAGATAGTGTCGAGGACCCCGTATCCGTTTCCTATAACAGCTCTGTCCGAATCTCATCACCAGACACCGCTGACGGTTGGAACAAATTGGACGCTGCATCTTCATGACACTCGAAAGCCTCCCCAGGCCGCATCTTCGGTACGATGTGAGCTTATCGGCGGCGCGACCGATATCTCTTTTTCCCGCCTTGAAACGGGGGACTTTGGCGGTCATGTCTCACTCTCACAACCAGGCGCGCTTTCCATTCTGCACCTACCTACAGCGCGCGAGTGGGACGGCAATGGAGATATCTGGGTCGGCGGCCGATTTACGAGCATGCTCAACTTTGACCGCAGGTACTTCCCCCGGCTTCGCGGTACCGTGCACTCTGGCGCCCGACTTTCATGCATAACAGCTATACCATATCCTTTTGTACCGCAAGACCTCCGACTTGGCCGACCGCACCCATCGCCCGCGTTGCTGCGCGAAGTCAAGGCTATCTCTGGCCACACTTTGATTGCAGCAGGGGAGTATAAAGGCAAAGGCTCACTTGAGCTGTACGGCCTGTCAAATGAGCCATCATTATCCATTAACTCAAGCGATAGCCGCACAACAAGTAACAGGAATGCGTACTATCAGAACAGGCAGACGGCCAGTAGCTCGAAGCTGCTTTCTGCTGCACCACATGGTACCCGACTTGTCTTTTCAGATGGCGACGGCAACATGAAGTGGGTCGAGCGTGACGGCTCAACACCCGTCCGCCAATTCAACATTAACGACTTTCAACGCTCATCCTCCGAGCCTGCACCACAATCTCAACTTGTCAGTGCACAGCCAGATACACAAGCCGGCTGGGGCGATATCGTGCAAAAGATTCTGCCCACTGTGAATCCATCTTTGCTTTGCCCCCACTCTTCCTCATCAACCGAAGCACTTGGTCTCGACAACTTGATATTGTGGACTGGGGACGGTAAGCTAGGCATGGTGGGCTTTGGGCGTGACCCACCATTTGAAAGGGATGTGTTTGAAGACGCGCTTGAGCAGCAGGGTAATGATGCAGGGGAAAAGGTAAGAGAGAGGGAGTACAGTGCTGAGATGAGGAGAGCGCTAGAGCATCAAGCGAGAGAGTTGAGGTGGTTGAGAGGATATGGGCTGTAGAGTGGGGGTGTATAGACAGGGTGTTTATGGTTACTGTGATAGAAACAAATATAAAGGTTAGACTGTAAAGCTATGCACACAATTGCATGAGTATGGTGCGATCGTCAACTCGACTGGATGCAATGGGTTGAACATTTAGCACGGACCCTTGGTTCTCGCTCCCGCATGACGCACACCACCAGATCACACCCCTTCTGCCGTCTATCGCATCTATTCTCGTCCCTGTCGGCGGATTTTCTCGTTATGGGTAGACTTTCGAACATGATGCTCCAACCCCATTGTGTGTCGTTTTCATATTCGGTTATGCGGCACATCGAGCGCATAGCCAAGACGCGTCTCCACGATGGTCGTACTCTCACATGCCAAACGCGTGGCGACTAGTAACATATACACGAGATCCTTATTTGCTGCATACCGGCCGAATGAGGCGCTCTTTACAACGTGCTACACGCGGTAAACATGTCTCCATACAGGTGCTAAAGTTGGCGAGCTGACAGTTACGTACAGGATGGCTGGTCTTACCCCTCGGCAGACACTCCTCTCGCTTGCGATCCTATCCCTTCCTCTTGCAACAACCAGTCAACAATGCGCAAGGAATCAAACCATCAAAAGACGAACATCGTAATGAAGAAAGGAGCAAGTTTTCCCGGAGCGTCCTTGAAGGAAGCACCGTTGCTCTAATATCGTTATTTGGTCTAGGCTTGGGCGGCTACGCATACAGCCTGTTCTACAAGAGAACAGTAGGGAAGAAGATTGAGAATGCCTTTGATCCAGGGTACAGCTCGCAAGAGCGGGTAGCTCTTGGTCGCGTCGCGTACGGCACTGAACCGGAAAAGATACGAGAGATTGTAGAGCGAGAATACTGGGTCCCAAGAGCCGAACAGCCGGCCATTGACAACATCGTAAACGGGAAAGCAAGAGGGAAATACTACCTCGTTATTGGCGAACGAGGTACCGGAAAGAGAGCATTGCTTTTGGAAGCTATGAGAAAGGTCAACGGCGATGGTATTGCCATGCTGGAAGCTCATAATGATTTGGAAGTGTTCCGCCTACGCCTCGGCAAAGCTATCGACTACGAGTTTCATGAAGACTATATTGGTGGCTTGTTCAGCATCAGAGGCCCCAGGGATAGCTCGCCGCTTCTGGATATTGAGAGAGCACTCAACCAGTTGGAGAAGGTAGCCTGGTCGATGCGAAAACGGCGTGGAAAGCCCCTGATCATGATCATCAACAACATCCACTTGTTCAAAGACGATGAGCCAGGCAAGCATTTGTTGGAGATTCTCCAACAGCGGGCCGAGATCTGGGCGGGTAACGAGCTTGTCACAACAGTCTTTACGTCGGATGAGTTTTGGACGCTCGAACGGCTAACACCGCATGCGACCAACATGGGGGTTATGAGTATCAGAGATGTGCACAGGGACACCGTCATTAACGCGCTCAAGCGATACAGAGCTCGATATCACAACGAGGACACGCCAAAAAGCGTTCTTGATGAAGTCTTTGCCCAGGTTGGTGGTCGCCTCATCTTTTTGAATCAGGTCGCAAAATCACAAGATATGCTGGAAACCTGTCGCCAAATCAACCGGAGGGAAAAGTCGTGGTTCCTCAACAATTGTTGGATTCTAGGCGATTCCATGGACGACGACGTCGAGGAACAGCAGAAATACTGTGCCGCAGCCATCGTCTTGGCGCGCGCCCTGATCCTCCGTGAACAAGACTCTGACGGGGAGGAATTCACGCTCCCCGAGATACCCCTACACGAAGCGCGACAAATCATTACACGAGCGGACTTTGTGCACCCTTTCGATCACATCAACATTGTTCACATCGATGCGCACGGCATGGTGCGTGCAGATTCCGTCCCCATGCAAAACGCCTTTCGAGATGTCGTCAAGCAACCTGGTTTCGAAGAGCATCTGAAAGCAACGCTCAATCGGCTGGATGAGCTGGAGAGTTTAGCGCGGACAAGGGAAGTTGCGGTGAGAAAGCTGCCTGATCGGAGCGGAGGCATTGTTCCTGTACAAACGTATTGTGCCAAGCTGTGAAGGGGTCTAGTAGGATGGCAGGGAGTAGGGGGGTTATCCATGCTGGTATCACAAGTACCGTTGTATGTATTACCTCGATTGTGTGACGTATGATCGCTTGTCCAACCGATTGGCGCAATGTTAGTGATGGAATTTACGTTGTATGGACCTACGTAGTGTTTAGGTTCTCGAACATCGCCTGCTACTTCAAGACTCGCAGACTTGGGCATGCGGGCTGCTGCTGTAAGGACCCGTGCTACATCTACTATGCGCGCTAGGTGAGTGGCTGTTGAGAAGTAGAATATGCTGTCGCCAGGACCCTTTTGTTCCACCATCTCGGGAAGTTCTTGGGTCGTCTCCACTACGCCAGAAAGCGAGTAGCTTAAATGGCGTGGTGATAAAATATGCTCGAATATTTTGGCCAGACGCCTTTCGCTGGTCTGGAGCGCTTGTCTTAACTATATGGCGCGGTCCATGTGTTATAGGTTTCACTAAAAACAAGCTCATAGGAACTGATTTCGCTCTGCAAAAGTTCAGAAATATCTTATTGGATGACCGAATTATTCTTATCCAGCTTAACGCTCGTACGTAATTTGATGTTTGTACTGTGAGCTATGCCCAAAACCAGCTCTTGATAGTTGATTTTGCTCATAAAGAGTTGGGGAATCCGCAAACTACACGGCCGAATATGTTACAGATAGCCGAAAAACTAGCACTTGCGACCCCTCAAAGACCACTCCAAGGATTTGCAGTGCGAAACATCCTCGAGATTAATTTTTAATGAGTGCAAGTCAGTCTAAGACGAGTTAAAGAATCGTAAGAGTGCTTTCGTGCTTAGTAGGATCTGACTTTAGAACAATGAAAGATGGAACATCAGCTATGCAGAGCGCGAATCTAGACAGATACGATCGAGATATATAAAGCTCAACAGGTGGATAAAATGTCTAGAAAAACATCTATCGCATTCACTTCATCACTACGTTTCAACCCTACAGCCTTTCCAGCTCATCCAATCCAACATGATGTTTATCAAGACTCTCTTCTTTGCTTTCATTAGCACTGCTCTAGCTTTCCCAGAGGGCATCTTAGTTTCCAATGGACTCACTGGGGCTTCAAAGCCTATAACACGCGATATTCCACGGTCATAGTTGGCTAAACGAGAGTTTGACCCTACTGTTATTTCAACTGAGGATCACCCCACCAATCCATTGTTGGTTCGGCAACTTTGTAACCCTTGCACCCCTGATGCTTGCGGTGCTTGTGGCGCGGTAGGTTAACCATGTATTTACTGTACCTTACTGAAACTGACTTATAATAATATAGACTGGAAATAGTGTACGTTATCTTCAACTAGAGCTGCTCAATTAACATCTCTCCCTCTCTCTGTTTCTCTTGTCTGTCAGCGGATACTAACTCATCCTTCAGGGTCAATTATGATGGATTTCCTTCAGCTCCTCTTATTCTCAGACTTTTGCTAACATAGGTGCTTATGAAAGTTCTGTTGCACGGTACGTTCAGGTGCCTTGACAATTATACCACTCTAACAAAAGACAGAAAAGCTTCTACGGAGCCCTTTGTAGATAAACTCAACAAGAATATCAAGGAAGTTCGTTAGTAGTAACTATGAGATTCCTTCATACATGAATTGAGCTTAGATAACTAGACGCTAGGCACGATATATGGTGGTCCCTTCCGTTTACCTTCGCCTTCAAATGTCGCAGCTAGGAGATTCTTCAAGTTTTGGTGCAGAAGAAGCTTCCTTGAAACTTTCTTCTAATGTAACTGTTGCACATTCCGAGAATCTACCTATATGTATCTACACTAGTACAGATGTCCTATAGATGTTGGAGATGAAATTCCAGTGTAGCACCTCTCAAAAAAGCCTAATATAATTTCAGAAGTAACTCATTCTCTTCTTTCTCTACCTTCATATTACGCTTACTCCCCTCGCTCTATAGATATCTATATGGTTCTTATAGCAATTATGGCCTCAGAAATTGAATTCAGTCCTCTGTCCGCATCGCTCAAGTGCTAAAATCTTTGCTTTCACATAATCTTTTTCAAGAGAAGCCATTTCTTCATTTTAATCATATGAATCGTTTGGTTCTCTGCGGGAGAGTAGCACTGAATACAGACAGGCTTCAAGGCTTTCGACGTCTGCCTTGAATCAGTCACGAAATCAGACTTATATTTGTTGTGCTCTAGCTGATTTGAGCATTAATGCTATAGGTAAGTCGCAGAGTTAACATCTGTGTCTGTCTCCGTACACTCCACACGAGCCATCTTTTGCTATTTAGTTTCAGTTTGCCGTGTTAATCCTCGTTTAAATACTAAATGTGTCGATCGAGAACAATGAAGTAATTTCAACTCAGACGCAGATGAGTACATCGGGTTGGCTTACTTTCTTACAGCTTCCTATTAAGGTTCACTCATCCATGACGTACGGACTCCCCCCCCCCGATTTTCCGCACTTCTCAAATTATAGCATACTACCTATTGGACCCACTGAACGATAGCTTCTTTCACAATACTTTAGGGCTTTCTTTCTCATCTACTAAAATAAGACAGAACAAAGGCCTGTTAACACAACTGTTCACTTTCACTATCACCTTGTAATCCGCCCTTCAGTATATCTTGTACGCCGCCGTTTTGACCTTTTCGTCTTCTTAGCCAATGTTGTTCTGGCAAATCAAACTGTCTCTCTATACGTCCAAGTGTCTAACAATTACGACAGGTCAGCGCAGGTTGCGACCCGGATTCTTGCAGCGTGTACTGTGGTAGTGGGGGCGGCCATTGCATTACCAGCCCAAACGGAATCCCTTACCTGCTAATGCGGGCCTATCGGTTGCTAAAGTAATAAAGCCACAAGTTCTAGTTGTATTGTAGAATTATACGTGGAGGAAGCACAGTTGTACACATTCTTGAAACACACCTCACTTGTTCCCCTTCAGTTTATATGAACATGACTGCATTAAGCACAATGTGCGAAGATATCTAAGACTACATTAATGTATTCACTCCCTTGCCATTATTGAATCTCATCAGAAGCCCGCGGGACAAGCGACTGTCTCTCTAACCAGGTTGACAGGTCTCTGTGATGCTGGAAGGGTACGGTAGAAAGTTAGCCGCCCGTTAGAGGGTGAGAGTATACTTGACTCGAAGCCCGCCTGAACGCATTGCAAGCCAGCGTTTGCTGTTGGCCTACAGGGCGTGAGTCCGAACGCAGAGTTGCTCGATATCCCGGCTGGAAAATAATTACTGTTGAGAAATCCAGTTGACCAAACGGATGATGAGGCTTGGTATGCTATATTGGAGTACACAAAGTTGGTGGAAGTTCTGAGGAAACAGTTGTTGGTTCCCACGGTGTGTTGCTTGAAAATAGCTTTGTTGGTAGTGGACACTATTCCAAAGTTGCCGGGATCCACGGCCATATAGCCTCCGAAGTTTGTGTCTTTGACTACAAAGCATCCAGCAATAGGTGCGCAACTGTTGGCTGGGGCAGCGGCTTGGACAGTAGTAGTGGAAGTCGTAGTCGATCGGATAGTGGTAGCTATGAGGAGCGTTGTGGCGATGGTAGTAGTGGGAGTCGGTGCGACATCAGTAGTAGTGCTGATCACAGTCTGAGTCGTGGTGAAAACAGTTGAAGTTGCCGTGATTTGGGTCTCTGTTATTGTGCCAGTTGCAACTTGTGAACAGGCGGCCGATAGCACTGATCCCGGCCAGTTCGCAACAGATGCAGGGGTAGGCAATGCCGCACGTTTCGCCAGATCAGGACTAGCAGCGACAAGAGAAGACACAACGGAGGCTGGAAGAACTACATAAGGCCAAATATCGGTGTTGATAGAGGAGGCTGTGGTTGTGGCGTTGTTGTCGAACCGTCGTAAACGTGCAGGAGCTGGCTGGGTAACAGTTGCGGTAACAGTTTCTACCACTGTAGTTGGATTATAAGAGGTAATAGTGGTAGAGGTTGTAACTGGATCGGGAGTCGAGGTAACGGTGGAGTCGACAGTGGTGACAGTGACAGTGCTGATAGTTGAAACCGCGGACACTATACTAGTGGGTGCAACATAGTTGATGTAGGATGAGCAGAAGGCAGCATTCTCGGGTTGCCTCAAGTATGAAATATCAGAAGCGCAGATAGGCTGGCCGGGATTGGCATTATTCGAGTAGATCTCTGAATAGGCTATCGTATAGTGATCGCTGCCACGCCATTGTCCCTCGTTGGAGATGACATCTGGTGTGTTTGCCCAGGTGGTGTTGTACATTGAACATATCTGAGCTTGCGGCACTCCATTCTTCATGAGGATGTACGTGTTGAAAAATCGGCAGATGCTCCTGGAATTGAGATGGCCGATGTTGAACTGGGTTTCGGCCTCGCAAGCGGTAGCGCAGCGGGATGGATCAAACGGAGCACCATCGCTGAATTCCTTGTAGGTAATATATGTGTCGCGACCATTACAGTCTGAAGGTGCGTTGACGGCCTTGTTGCCAACGAAGGTACCAGCGTACCCGGAAATAGACTCAGCAGCTGATGGGTTACGAACGTAGCCGTTGGAGCCAGCGATTACGACATGGAAGTCGTTACGCCACTGACCATCGTTGGTAGCAGTTTCCGTGGAAAGGACAGTGCCCCACAAAACACACTTGATAACAGTGGTTGATGCAGGATTAGGGCACGCTGTAGCAGGAACCTTCTCCGGATCACGCTCGAATAAGATGTTGAAGGAAAGACATCCTTTGGTAGTCGAGCACTTAGCAGCGCAAGCTTCAGTGTCGTAACTGGATAGGGAAAAGTATCCCATGTAGGACTAATCAAATCTTGTTAGTATTCTCGAAAATCTTCCGAGTTTTGTACGACTCACTGATGTCTGCGAGGATGCCTTTTTGTTCTGGAATACGTTCACATATCCTTCTGGAGTTTTCGCACCGTTGGCGGCATCCGAAAGCTCGGAGAAAGCCAGGAATGCCTCTGGGGTATCTGAGGAAGGCACTGGGCCTGATCCGAGCGCTTGGTCTGAGCAATCCCACTCGCGCTTCAAAAATTTCGCAGGAAGAGTTGTGGTATCATTCTTGGCTCCTACTCCCATGGGGATAGTTACCGGAGGCGCCACGTCATCGGACTTGACCATACCACTCAGATCTAATTTTTGAGGGATCGGAGTTGCTGCTGCGAGCGTTATAAGGGCAAGAAGCCCAGCTGATCTTCTCATCATGGATAGAAGAAGGTATGAGATGTGTGAATATAGTTGGGGTATAAATTTCCACTAGGAGTAAGTGGGTGCTGTGACTGATCGTAAACAAGCACTGCTGTTGTGGTCATGCACGAGAGAACGAGGGCAATTTATCTGCAGCGGGATCTTGGTGGCGTCTCAGCTCATGTATCGATCGTGGCTTTTCATTAGAAAGGTTGAGATACTTTCAGCAAGTGGCGTCGTGATGCCAAGGGCTGAGGAAACTTGACAATAGTGATAGTGGATGCTTTCCAAAGGTCTGGACACAACAGGTTAACCTCATCTAGACATGGATACTAGAATTGTCTCCGAATTGCCATGAATCAACCACCCAGGCGTCTGGTACTAGCGTTTGGAAATCGTGTGGCTGATAACCCGCTTCGTCGCTAGTAAGCCATGCTCTGTACTAGTCGAGAATAGTACTAGTCTACACCCATATTGGGAACACGTCTTCTCTTAGTTCACCGGAGTCACCGGTCCCTAGACTCACTCTAAACATGCTTGACTATATCGAGAACAGAGACTACTGGGTCAACATCTTGGTCTAGGCAAGAGAAGACCAAACTGAACGTACTACTGCTCTAATGAATGTAGCCTTAAGTCATGATTATAGCGTACTGTACCGGCTATAATCAGACACATGGAACGTTATCGTCATTGTGTTTTGCATAGTAGTCGAAAAGAATGTTGTATATTTGACCGTTGCATCGTCACCGCTGTCTACAGACGATAGCCAGGCTTTTTGTTGACGAGATCCGAAGTTTCATCTCTAGAGGTTACAAGTCACGGTGACAGAACGAACACTAACTCCAACGTGTTCGCTTCAGGATCTCCCATGTGATCTAATCGTTGTTCCGGAAATCTTAAGATTCAAAGTCAGGTTGCCGAACATGCTTGTTGCAGCCACAGCCAATACGAAGCCTGGCCCCATTGCTCTTCGGGGAAAGTATCGTAACGCTAAGAGCTCAGCTTTCAGGGTCGAGCTGGTCTTGGCAGGGACTAACTAAGTCATGCACCACTGCGTTGGGTCCGCCACATTCTCAATGAAGCCTAGCAGCGAATTCTGCCTGCCGTCCCTCGACATTGGTGACATGCCGTGTGCTTTTACGCTTGTGATTTCTGGTTAGTTGATATATGCCGTGAACTCAAGCACGGATGAGCGGTGAGGATAGATTGTAGTTAGACAGCAACTTCGGTTGTTCATAACACATCTGGTTCGAGTTCCTCTATATTCCATGTTCGGCTAGAAATTAAGTTGCGCAATCGTCAAGTTGAATTCGCGCTTTAACACCAAGACCGGAACACCACCCAAAAGTATGCTTCCCGAAGCGCCATAACCATGTGCCCTTGAAAGCGCAAAAATGCTTCGCACGCTACGCTAAGCTTTCCAATGACTCGCTGCTCCGAGTGTATGTTTTCTGGCCTCCTTTTCCGCTGCAGCAAAAGCTTCCGGTTTCCTCTTTTTCTCGTCCCTCAGCGTATGTTTCTCCCAGTCCTTCAAGACCTGAAGCGTGGCTATAACGAGTGCCTGATCTACTTCCGGAGATCGTATATAAATTGCTTCATCAGGCAGGTTTTCTGCAGTATTATCGACTCCGCCGTCCCAAAAGCAGTGGTCCGCAACGATATGGCCATACAGCGGATTCGGATTGTATCCTGCAGCGACGAACAGCGCATGTCTGAGGGTGTCGTACCTTGCGCCATCGATGGAGGAAACTCTGCTGCTCGTCACCCACATATAGGCTCGTCGGTCGGTCCCGATAAACCTTAAGGAGTCGTAATTCAGCGCATGTACGTATGTCGTCATGATGTCTCTGGAGTTGGGTCCACTTGGCGTTAGAACTTCAGACTTTCGCATATTGGTTTTGGGATCTATCTTGAGCTCATATGTCCACGTAGTGGCCTGCTGTTTGCTAGCCTTCGTCCCAAGATTCTCAAGTTGCTCATTGCACGTCATAGTCCAGGACAGCTTTGGGCTACGAAAGCTACCGCCAACAGATTTGAACTTGAAAGAAAAGGCTGGAGGTACAGAATCTTGTGCCTTGTCTGAGGGCCGTTTCTCGCTCCATGTCGACGATGTCGGCGTGTCGAGCCAACAAGAACCTGAGGCATGTTTGCCTCCCCGACCGGCGTACAGTGTTTGAAGTACGGGTGGCGGGCTCCATTGTGGAGGATAAGGTGCTTGACGATGTTTTTCTACATAGGGAGGCAGCGAAGAATGATCCAGAGCAACGGGTGGTTGGCTCACGGGCTGCTGGTCTGGATAGACTGGTATCGGGAGAGTTTGCTCCGAGAATTTGGGACCTGAGTATGTGATGGGAAAAGGCTCCACCACAACTTCTGGTAATGTGCTAAACCTAGTCGTATCTATCTTCTGAGCATGATTCAGAGATCCTGGACTCCATGGTGCAGCATGTGTCCCTATGCTCTTTGAATGGGGCCGTAATGACTGCGCAGATCGGTGGTGGGTAATCGGTATTGAAACCGAGTTTCGAGGTGCTACACCACATGGAGATTGATTATTGGAATAGGACACGCTTCGAGAATGCGGTCGCAGCGTTTGTACAGACAGGTGTTGGTGCAGTGATGGCGTCAGGTGTTGCGGGTTTCCAGCAAACGGGTTCATCAACGGTGTAGAGTTTGTGACCTCTAGTTGCGACATCCTACGCGCGAGGAGTTCATCCTGCTTCAATTGCTCTTCATGTATGGTTGTTGGTGGGGCTGATGGTAATGGTGCCGGTAATTCTGCAATTACTGGAGCTGGCTCTGTGCTGCCGTAGTGAGGTTGAACGTATGATCCTGCAGCTAGCGCATATTGAGTGTACTCGGGGTGATGGTTTTGTGTGTGATGGTATACAGGCTGCGCCGGTGAAGGCGGCGTTTGTTGATACTGCCGCGACTGCCAGGGCTGTTGATATGGATTGAAATTCGGTGATGCCATGACTCTTTGCAGGTTCAACTTGGTACTGTTGGTTGCGATAGGGGACTCGATTTTTTGCGCGCAATGAAGGGGCCAGTTCGTGCCCAAGAGGTCCGACCAAAGGAGTGCGCGATCATGTGCGCACAACAACCAGTCGAGACGATACTTTGCAGAGCTCCTTTCTGGACGGAGACGGGTAAGCCTGTTGGTGGAAGGTGATGTATGCAGTGTGTGATACTGCGGGATGTGGGAAGTACTCAGTATCAACCTTTGTTTTGGCGCGTCTCAGCCCCCAGCGCGGGACACTGGTTGCCTAACCAATCGCCCTCAGCTGTCCTCACATCGGGCGGCTAGCCACCCTCTCGCAATCCCCACGGTACGATAGGCAATAGAGCAGCCTTGTCCCCGTAGATGTTGATGCGGAGTAGGAAGCGGAACATATAGGGAAGATGCTAGTGCCCATAGCAGTAAGCAGGTGCTTGTGGGAAATGCGCCACACTTCCCATGCGCCACAACGCTGTCGAACTTAGCCATCGTCCCACACCCCGCATATACTATGTATACGTCATGGTTGTGCATATGTCGAGGGGGGCAGCACATCATACGTTGTGGTGAACTTTGTCGCCATAGCATTTCAGTTTCCTACAGCCTATGTTTGGTGTTTGGAGCGGGAATAATCGACTATGTGCAAGGTCTGAAAGGCGACTCTTCCAAAACTACACATGAATGACATGGCCATCATAAGGACCTTTGAAGAATTTTAAGCGTCCGAATCCAATGCGCCATGCTGGCTCACAACAGGAGACGACCTAACATAGGAATTTTTTAATGCAGGAAATCAATGAGTGGTGTGACCTGATACTAAAGGATCTGTCGCCCTATAATAAATGTGGGGTTTTCGTTACGCTCCAGCCAGCCAAATTTGAGTACTAGCAACCGTTCAATCACCGGGGAGTGCAGGGACCCTATCCACAGTCCTGGGAATACCAACTGGGGTCAAAGCTCTACAGACTATGCTACTGAGCAGATAGTCGAGTATTAGGTGTGGCATGTACTTGCCGTATCATGTGCCCCCAATGGGTCTGAGACCATATGTTACCCTCTATTCTTATTGTACGTTTTGCGCGAATTGCATTAAGCACGACCCAGCACAACAAATGGCAACTGATTTGCGACTTGAACTACATAGCAATTCAATCTAGGGATGACCAAGATTGCAGTAAATTAGTGTCAGTAGAAATTGCAATAGCGATCACTACACATAAAGGATTCATTCCGTATGTGAGTGGATTGATTCTTCCCTGTATCTGCTCTGCGGCTCTCTCTATTTGTATTAAGCGCACGCGAAGCGCGTTTAATGCGCCATCGCCGGGCGGGGCTAGTGCCGCTACAACATCTGTCTAAAATCAAGGTTGATATTTTAAGTATAACTAGTCATATGATAAAAATCTTCCTAAAAGAGACAAAGACTTCTTCTAAGACTTCTTCATATTTTTGTGAATTACATACTAGTATGACAGTCATCAAGCTAGTGCCATGATTTTCTATTTTGTTATATTACTTTCCATATAGTAGCCTGATAAATTCATAACTGGTTTAAAGACCAATACCCTTACAAGGTCCGTCCTTCCACGAATACTCATCCTCCCAACACACATACGGGATCTCCCTGAAGAGAATCTTTTGCGCTGTAACGGAGTAGGACATGTTAGTCGCTGATCGCAAAAGGTAAAAAGAAGGAGGGGTCTTTCACACTAGGAAAGTGAGGGATATCGTTGGGGAGTGATGTAACTTACTGCAAAAAACCAGCTTCGCATCCACAGACAATTCGAGGTACATGGGGTACTTCTGGTTGTACTTCTTACTGTAGTATTCGACGTAGTTGTATCTGAAACCCATCAAGTTGCCATCGCCACAGTCGAACGTGCTGACGCCGCTGCAGTCCTTGTCCCATAGAAGAGGGCATTTTCGCGTGGCTCGACACTTTTCGACACCATCTTCCTTGACCCAAGCTTCCAGTTCGATGCCGGAAGTAATGCCCATATGAGCCTTGATATGTGCTTGGAGGCAGGGAACTTTCTCTGACTTGGCACACATGCCCGACGCGCAGAAGCGGATGTAGTCGCATCCACCATTGATGCTGCCGCTACACCCGTTCTGTCGAGCAGAGATGAGGCTCATGTCCCTTGTTGCGACGCTGCTCTGGTTCTGCGGGGTGTTCGGAACAGAAACCTCCTGCTCGCCCGGCTCATTATCAGCCGGCTCCTCCTGGCGATGGGAGTCCTCTTCGGGCCTTAAACTGAGTTCAGGTGTTGGAACCGATGGGTCTACTGTGATGCTTGCATCGTCGATAAGGGAAGGGGGCGCGGTTGCGTCAGCCGGAGCATCAATAAAACCTGCCTGAGCACATCTGGCTATGACAGTGGTACTCAGGCAGATGGAGTACTCGCCTGAACACGAAGGGGTACCCGTCGCAGAGTATGTAGAGTAGCAGGGCCTGGTTGGTACGCAGAGATCCTGAGTCACGCAAGCCGACTTGCCACCAGAGCCATTACACCTGGTCGTGTGCAGATACGAGCTGCACTCGCTGCCACTATAAGGCGGCTCGAGCGTCGTGAGAGTGGGCGCCCCTGGGAGATTCTGACGTGTTGTTGTAGGCGCTCCCTGTCCTCCGTTACCATTGCCTCCATTGGATGTTCTAGTGCCGCCTAATGGGGGGCGATTCCATCCCCAAGTAGTTATTGTCTTTCCGGAATAGATTGTTGTCCCTTTCGTGTGGCTTATGCCGGCTGGAAGCTGCTCATGCGTGTCCTGCAACTTGGGGTCATACGTAGGCCTGTAACTTTGTGAACATGCTGTACAGAGTCGAGTTGAAATAGAGCATGAAACTTACGCTGGGCAGCTTCCACCTGTGGTAGTCGTTGTTTTTCCAGTAGCTGAGCATTCGCTGACAATTGATGTGGAGTAAGTAGTGCAATCCGTCGTGCGCTGTGCGTCACAAGAGACCCAGCGGTCTGTAACAGTTCTCGTGGTGCACTCCTCCTCTTCCTCTTCTGGATCATTGGGATCACCACCACCGCCGCCATCACCTCCTGCCCCACCACTACCGTGTGGACAGACCGGTCCAACGCAGTTAAGATTAGGAGTGTTACAAAGGGGGCCAATGCACCCGCAGATACCTAAGCAAGGACGCCCACGGCCTCTACCGCCACCGCCACCGCCTCCACCATTATCATCGTCTTCTCCACCGCCGCAATTAACCTTGCAACGGCTTCCACACTTTTGTCCAGGCTTGCAGGTCGGCTTTGGCGGCCCCCTGATGGCAGTGACAGATGATGGCTTACCTGGAGGAGGTGGTGGTGGAGGGGGGAAAGGGTTATTATCGTCTGAATTAATGGTAGGCCAAGGCCCAGGCGAATATGTCCATGTGACGGGTGGCTGTCCTGTCCTAGTCTTAGTGAGAGTGACTGGCGGAAAATCGACGCTCGAAGTGAGGCTTACTGTAGTCCGACTCTTCTCATCCTCATTCCTGCCACTGATCCATATCACGTTCCACACTTCGATCAGGGTCGTGGTGACGGGGGGCAGCGTGATGACGGTGCTGGTCGTCACAACAGTTGTGTCCCAAGTGTCGAGGAATGAAATGGTGGCGGGAGGTCGGGAGATGGTCGTTGGCTTGTCAAGGGACCACGGGGGCATGATTAGTGTGCACGGCGGGAAACACGAAGCGACTGGGTTTGGATCGTCGTAGACCTCGGGTGCAATGTAAACGGGCCCAGAACCTTTGCCATTTGACGGCGCCTCAAGACAGGCGCCGCTCTGGCAACCCTTACCGCAGTGAGCCTCAGAATCACCGCAGTAGCCGAACGAGGAACAACAGCTTCCCTGGGGCCAGAGACCGCAGAACATGCCGTTGGCCGAGGCGCCACAGGATCCATCAGTCGTTTCCTGTCCCACCAAACATTTTCCACTCACGCATCCAGAGCCGCAGTGTGTCTCGCTGCTGCCACAGTAGCCGTATGACGAGCAACAGTTGCCAAAAGTGCTGCCCTCGCACTTGAAGCCGCCATTATTGGGACCACATCTTCCATCAGTGGAAATGGGGGCACTGTCACCGTCACCGGTGCCCGAGTTAAAGTCGACAGACCATGCCATTGTGCCGCCAAAGCAGAGGTTGTTGGCAAACTTGCGCTTCATCTCATGTGTCTCCTCGTCGTCGTAGCCAATCCACTGGTCATCCCAGATGAGCTCCTTCATCATGGATTCAGTGTTAAGGCGCGGCGTAAGGTTATTCTCCTTGATAAGCTTCTTGATCTCAAGGAGCGACATGACTCCCGCCTGGCGGGTGCACTCGGCCGGCTTGCTGGGGCCTGAGAAGGGGCATAGGAGCTTGTTGCAACTGGGATCTGTAATGAATTGTTAGTTGGCATACACTAGCAATCACTGAACGGCGGATCAGTGTACCTGACAATGTATATCCTCTTCCATACCAGGCAAGGCCAAAGTTGATCTTGGCCGGATCTAAGTTTGCATACCAGAGGGGCAAGGTGTTCTAAGTCACAGCCTATCAGTGAAATCCCGCAGTCATATGTCTATGTCCAGAAACGACAAAGCCAGTGCTAACTGAATACTTACTATGAGGCATTAGTAAACGGCGTGAACAACATGATTTTATGATAGCTCACCATTATAAATCTCGCGTACATCTGCCTGGCCGCGCACTAGAGATCCCAAAGTCTCGACGTCAGAGTCCCACGAACCATGCAAATCGTACGCCATGAATCCGAAGAAGTCGACATAGGGCTGCATGGCTTCTGCGTCAAAGTACCGAAGATACCAATAGTCTGGCGCCAGAGTCAAACTAATGCCATACTTATTTCCGTATGCCTCTCTCATCTCTCTGACGAGCTTCGTGAAGTTTTCAGTGTCACCTTTAGCGCCTCCCCGCTTCGGCTCCACAGGGTATTCCCAGTCCAGGTCAACTCCCGTGAAGCCGTACTTATCCATGAACTCAGCCGTGGATTGGATAAACGCAGCTCTATTCTCACGGGTCGAACAGAGGTCACTCCAAGTCGTGTGTGTGTTGCCCTCATCACTAAATGTGTAGCCCCCAACTGCAATCCAGGTATTCGTGTCGAGGGCCGTAAATTCCTTCATCAGTGGGATATCAGCGTCATCCCAGGGCCTGATTCTAAAGGTCTTTGGGTCGATGGATGCAAATGAGAAGAAGAGATGGGTGTAGTCCTTAGCCTTAATATCGTTGGGAAAGATGCGGTTGCACAGGCGGTCTCTACTGTTGGAGGCTAGGTAATACCCAATAGTTCGGGCCTTTGTCGATCCAGAGCCCTCGCCACATGTCTTTGGTCTGATGATCTCGCATGAGCCGAAGTTTTTCTGGCACGGTGTGAACTTGTTTGGCCCGATGCAGTGAACTTCGGATGTTCCACACCATCCACCTGAGATATTATGCTTAGTAAGAGTCAAACGCAAGTTACAAAACTATTAGACACTGTTATCACTCACCCCAACTACAGCATAAGTTCATGCCGCACTTTGTGTTTCCACCTTCGGAGAAGTTGCCGCAGATGGCAACAGCATCACAGTTGCTGGTGCAGCCAACACCACAAAAATCTTTACCGTAGCCACATACTCCCTTAGGACCGCAGCAACTGGTACAATTAGAATTCCGTTTCTTTCCAAGTCTTTCTTGTCTTTTACAAGGACTGAAGCGTGAGAACTGACCTTTTGTCGGGGCAAGGGGCCTTTTTGCACAACAGGCCTCCATTTCCGTCCTCTTCGCGCTGTCTCTTGTGAAAGATGCTGCCCGAAAAACCCGACTCCACGGATGAATCGCTTCTATTAATCTGGCTTGTTGTAAACAAGGACATAATGTTGAGATACGGAATGGGGGGTGCGTGCTCCGGAGACTGGTGGGTGATATCCGGGGATTCCACCGCCAGGGCGCCCTGCAGGGCAATCAGAGCAAATCCAAGAAAACACGCTGATCTTTGGAAGCGTGCCATTTTCGACTCTGGCACATTTGCCTTGAGGAAAGGGGGAGAAGTTCTGTGGAAGGGCTGTATTTCATATAGAATACCATAGGTTTTATGTACATACACTGATACCGCTCTTCTACTCATGCCAGGGTTCTATTCTCCAGTCTATAAGTCTAACGGCGCTTCCTACTCTCTATCTCCGTAGCATGCAATGAACCATGAATTTACTAACCCACTAAAATCGTCAACCCGCAGTCAAGGATGTGATCCATTTTTTCTGTGGCACAGTTAGGGGAATCTGATTTTTTTTTCTAGCGCATTGAGGGGAGCATATGATTTCTTCCTGTGGCACGGTTAGGGAAACATACGATTTTTGCATGTGGCACAGTTAGGGGAACGTGTGATATTTGCAGGACTGATCCTTCGCGTGCCAAGTCTCCTAGAAGCGCCGAGTTCCCATGACATGTATGACTGATCACTATATTGTACTTGGTTTGCAATGCAACGAGTCTAGCAGGCAAAATCCGGAGTTTGTGGTCTCGGGGCAATCGGCTCAGTGCGCGAGCAACTGCCGAGAAACGGACAAAGGTTAAATGTGCTTAGAACGTGAAAAGCTAAGTAGCAAGATATGAGACAGGAGATGAAAGGATTAAGGAAAACAAATAGCTCAAAATACGACCGGGATTGATGGCGAAGATAGAGATGCAGGAGGCAGGGAATATTTGCAGAGATTACGAACAGGTGCGGATCTCGTTCCATTACTGTTTGCAAGAAAAGCTGGACTTCTCTCAATTCCCACGCAATTACAGTATTTACGCATTTACATGTATGCTTTGAGTTCGAGTATTCATATGTGCACTTCTCTCGTGAACCATGGTTCGGCTAACGGAAATCCCTCTGCTAGCGTCGTAACGTGTTCTCGGTTATGTCTACTGCATAAATACCACTATCTCTATTGAGTCCGTGACTCCATCTTCTCTCCAGACACTCAAATCGAAAGTCCCACCGAGAGCACTACAAGCGACCATGGCAACGAATACTGAAGGAGACGCGTTCGGCAGACTTCCCGTAGAGCTCAGGATCAAGATCCTTAAACTATCACCGGACCTCTTTTCACTACGGAACTTAGCCCATGCGTCGCCGGCCCTAGGCAGAGTACTCGACATATATCCGCTCGAAATTGTGGAGGTAGTCTTAGACGTTACCGTTCCTCTGGAGACTCGTCGGCTGATAGGCGCGGTTCTCAAAGCTCGGTTTTCGCGCTTTCCAGCATCCCTGTTCGAGGCTCAAGATGTGGCTAAAATTGACTCGCCTGTGGTTACAGACGACATGCGCTCCTCAAGAGTGGACAGGGCCGCCACGGCGGTACGATGTCTACTTGCGAGCGCCGAAAATGTTCATACCTGGTCCTATGCATGCCTGGAACATCTGATACGAAGAACAATGGAGCTGCGGCCCTCTACGCTGATTAAGAATGGAGCTGGCCGTACATCTCGGGAAAGATTTGAAAGGGCCGAGAGCCGTAAAGATTATGTTCCACAGTATACAGGCTCGCCTTCGTGGGTGGAGGAGCAGCGGATGATCAAAGCATTCTGGCGACTGCAATTGTTCCTGGAGCTCCAAGGTGCTGGTAATAAGGGCCGCCTAGGTACCTATTGGCCAAGACAAGAAGTTGATGTGTTGTCCAAGAGCAGCCTGGATGATTTTTACAACGTGTTTAACTTTGAGCGGGAGCAGATCTTAACTGCCTGCGACTTTTTCGACGCAGTCACTTCTGGGACTATTACTTTGGTGGAAACTATCTACGAAAACACTTATGGTTTGCCAACAATACATTTGATTGAAGGGACAGTGTCAAGGTGTTGTTGTACCGAGCTACCCTCATTCGAGCGTAACGAGGACACCTTCCATCAGGGCCCAGAAAACCTCGACAAAACGCAAACTTCATACCATTTTCATTCCGTCATGTCCAGCGATCAATGGCTCGATGGGCGACCGCCTCTGTTGGGGCTTCCTTTTCACCCCTGGCGCAAATATGGGTTCGCCATATGGGACAACAAACGCATGGCCGACTTAGGCATGAGGGACCTATCACGCAAGCCGTTCACCAGGAACCATTTAGCTTACTCTTTTCGATGGTTTAGTATCTTATCTGAGGAGGATCTGCCTTAGGGTATGTAGAATCAATAGTCGAGCCGTTTATCCGCCGAGATTAAGGCCTGGTGTGGTTGGTACGAGATTCAGATAGGTAACATAAAGAGATGATCAATCATTTGATTTGAACCAGCGAATGAGATAAGTAAGAGAACTCAAGGGTGGATATTATTGATAGTAAGCATTCGTGATAGAGGACATGGTTCATGCATGTACCAATTGGACAGCTTGGCAATGGCGAGAAAAGACCGATGTCCGCATCCACTAGGGAATATGGGGTTTTAGAAGTTTTCTGGACAATTCGGTTCGGCCCGTTGGGGCGGATTTAGTGGAGAAAAATTTGGAGAAAAGTTGCAATATGAAAGTTTAGGCAGATCCTTGAACTTGGGTCCATCCTGGATCCGTCTTCTTGGCTCCGGATGGGATCATTACCCAATATAGAACGTTCACGGTCCACAAGTGTTACATGACTATTGTAGAGCTGTTGGAACTCCACAGAAGGATTCAATGCAATATCAGCATGGCAAACGCGAATAAACACGAAAGTAGGCCCGGTGGATGCACCTAGCGAACGGAAACGTGAGACATCCAGCCCAAAGAAGTTAGCTCACAGCCGACCTTGTTCATCGAGGTATACTCATATTAGCTTATGCCAGGGTTCATGTGCCCATTCCACAGCTATCATTCGCCTAGCCCTGGATCTCTATGAAATCACTCCACTCATCTTGCCGTCTCCCTCGGGTCTACTGCTAGCACACACGGAAACATGGATCCTTTGCGACGCTACGAAGATCATGGGGCTAACATGGCCCGGAGAGCGTTCTTTACCCATGTGGACGATTGACTCATGTGGGCGCTTTTCGGGATGATAGATTATGTATTACCAGACCGAGTGGTTCATAAGCTCGTCTCGACAACCAAGCAAATCTTGTATATATCGATACGCCTCGACTTCTGCTATGTCGGCGTCTTTCTTCAGTCGCTATTCATATCGTTTCTTTAGCTGTTCGTCATGATTTCTGTTGGCATCCTCGACGGCGCCGGGGCAACCGAAGCTAGGAGACATGGTCCTCGATACCGTCTCTTGACTCTTATTGTAGCCGTCTGCATTGCGGTGTTCACTGGGTCGTACATCTCTCACGGTGTGCACAATCAACAGCTATCCGACGTACAACAACGAAGTGTCTTAGACGGGCCCCTAAAGTTCAATGACTTGCCCATTTCGCTGCCGCAGGAATATGTTTCGCCTGAACTTGTCTCTCGTGCAGCCAGCCAGGAATTATGGGACAGGAAGGTTTTGAGTGGCAAAAGGTAAACCAAAACATTGCAAACTTTCTTTCCTTCCTTTTTGTTCCATGTTTTGACCATCTCCTGACAGTTTTTACAAAAGTCCACTCACTGATAACATGAATGTAGTAAGCGGATCGAACAAGAAATGATTCTTCTCCTTACCATCTGCTGACTACGAGAACAGCACTCTGGTGCATGATGAACTCGGATAACGTGCAAGCCGGAACTGTAACGCGAGAAACACTCAAGAATACAGGGTGGCGAGAATTGGATCAAGTTCCTGAACAGCTATCAAATGATTGGCACGAGTCACTAGGAGCAGCCGATGGTCTGACAAATACGGCTAACGAGTTCCCTTCACAGTGGGATCATGAGGAACTATGGACGGACGATCAGGACAGGGTTAGACAAGTAGGTGCTCACAGTCATGCTACTTCTACTTTACTGACCAACATGACTTGGTTGTTATAGCCCAGCGACGCTGTCATGGGCAACATTGTCAACGGCGAGGATGGCTACATAATTGCTGGTACAAACTATGGGCCCTTGGTATCAAAGCCTACAGATGTGCCAGTATGGATGCTCCCTGATACAAAATGGACCGACATCGTGGCAGTTCAGTGGAACCAGTATGTGGCAGGAAGCAACATCAAGCGCATTTACCGATCTAACGTGGTATACGCTGAGTCGAGAGACCTTATGGAAACAGCCTTGGAGAAGGTCGGGAAGAGTGGTGACCTGGCTGACCTGCCATTATGGCCTGGCATTGATTTCACACCTGGAAAAAACCCCACCAAGACACCGATGAAGCCAGCTACTGAGGCCTTTATGGGCTTGCTCGGAAGCTCTCATGCTGCTGGTCCTGCATACTTGTTCATTCAATACCGGGCCGTTTTTGGCAAGAAGAGGATCAACAAGATCAAGCTCTGGAAAGCCGATAAAGAGGCGCAGGAGCCGATAGTAAACATGTTAGTCTACGCTGAAGAAGTTCGATAGAGAAGGAACCTTGACGATTCCGTCAAATGGGTACTGCTATTGCCTTAGGGATCTCTTCAAAGAACCCCATGAGAATAAATCGAATCTGTTTTAACTACCACGATGATTCAGAAGGTCTTGAGGATTATTAGGTCTCGTTAGCTATTTTGTTAACAGTTGGTGTGTTTGCTTCTACAGGCTATTTAAAGTGGCTAGATACAGGTATTCATTTTGGTTCTAGAATTGGTGCAGGAGTCCGAGAAGGAGAAAATAACAAGAAAGCTTCTGCGGCACTAAAGACTTGAGATTTCTTTTTTGCGATAGGTGCGTCGAAAAGAAATTGGGTTCAATACTGAATTGGGCTTCAATATCTAACATGTTACCTTCTAGTGTTAGGGGAGGAATTCGCTCTCAGCTCGGATGCCTCGCAGAGTACACATATGTGCTTTGTATCCTCTTCTCGAATTCAGTTGTCTCGAACGAATATTCGTACTCTGGTCAAGGTCGCCATGCATTAAGTTTGTAGTACTGCCGAACTTTGCTCTGAATCTTGTTGGAAAAAGGCCCTTCTTATCTTCAAACGTGCAAGACCTCGAGAGAACACCGCTTATGTATGGGATCGCGATTGGCAAAGAGAGTACTAGCTCCAACGTTTCGTATTGCTTTGTCAATTATGCAGCGGAGCTCAAGGACGTCAAGCGGTACATATACTATGCGACAGTTTGAAGTGGGACATGTGAGCTACGTGCTTGTGCCAGTTCATTTCAGCTGCAGAACTTGGTGTTGCCAGGGCTTTTACGTAGGTTTGCATCGCTGTTATACTATAGAATTCTAGCATGCGTATGAAAGCAATCAGCTACCTGACGCGAAATGGTAGCGTCAGTGTATGAGTGGATTGCAGAAAGAGAACGAGAATGACTGCATAACAGATCGGCTATCTTTCTCCATTGGGTCGACCGCAGCAATGGACGCGCCGAATCATCGATCGAAGTAACATCTTATTAACTAACTACCAATAGGAATTCTCCGAAGGACGGCCGTGGATACAGAACATGTTGAATTTGAGAGAATAGCAAGGGCAGTATACTTACTCGACGTGCGCGGGTCATCAGTATGGGTAAATGACAATAATGTGGCAGCAACTTCCCTAACGTCCACCATCAGATATTTCATGACCTCATCTATATTCAGCGGACCAATAGTACTACGAAGCGAACAGCTTTTGTCTTTGGCAATGCATCCTATGAAATGATCGAGTTAGCGCGATAGCCGTCTGTGAAGCTTGATCCTTGGATGATGCTGACATGCTGAATCCAGCTTTATACGAAGACTAGTGAACCTCATCGAGTAATTTGCTAGCTCCATCTGTCTCAAGCGATGCGGGGACAATGATTCCAGTCGAGAATGCGAGGCCACCCAGTAATGCGAAACCGTTTACACATGTATCTCGCAAGATCCTTGTACACCAACATGTGTTAGTGCAATCCCAAGGATTCGTATAACCAAGGGAAACATGCTCCATCTTGAGTCTAGTGAGCAGAGCTGGCATGCACGCCGTAGGAAGTGTATGTTCAAAGTTGTAGTCGATATGCGTGTTGCGGTCGATGCTGTTCCAGATTTCTGGCGTAGCGTTCCTTGGACTAGACTTTTTCATCTTTCTTGCTGTGAGGTGTTATCAGGGCGAGCTGTTCGTATCTAATGCAAGCTATCAATTTATTTTTCAGAATAACATTAGGTTTCCATAGAAGGTGCAGGCAATTAATATTCGTGAATCAAACAGCATGCTTGAATGAGAAATAAATGGGTGCATGGCAGGTGACTTCGCGAGGTCGAGATTTTCGAGTAACAGTGCGATATAAGATAGAAACCGAGTTTTTCTATAGTATCTTGTTTACTCCACCAGAGGTCCTCAGAGATATAGCTACGTGGTGCATCCATGCGACCTTACTTTGAAGTGATTTTGGTGGGGCAAAGGGGGCGTACGTATCGGTGTTCAAGGCGCGCCCCGGCGCGAACCACCGTCTTACCTGCAGGGTCATGTGCAAGTAAGGTAGAGTTGGACTTTAAATTGTTGGGATCAAACTAGTCAGGGACATTTACCACATGGATATATATCTGTTTGCATAGACTCTATGTAGAGAATTGGAAGTCATATGTACCCCTCGAGTTTCTTCTGAGGGGCTGAGTTCACGTACGTACTGATTTTGCGTTCTATCTGCGACCTGTAACAATGGCACTGTTCGATGTCAGGTATCCTTTGAAAAAATGATGATTACCAGGAGATGGTGGACCTAGCATTAAACATTGACACTTCTCCTAGCTTTGTTAACCATGATTGGAGACATTGTTGACTCTCAGCGTTCACCCATTTCGCAACCACAACAGCAGCAACGAGCTTTCAGAGAGTCTTGCCAGAATTGCGCAGACTCAAAGGTTCGATGCAGTAAGAACAAGCCGACATGCGCGCGTTGTGCTCGCCGAGGCACGCCTTGTGTCTACCAACAATCCAGGCGTGCTGGAAGAAAGCTTACATATGTCGGACAAGCCAAACAAGCGCGCCGAGCTGCCACGAATACCCTAAACGATGTATCAAGCTCATACACTTGGGAAGTCGACACTGGAAACAATGACTTGCAGTTATCTCCTCCCAGATCCGACACCACACCAAACACCACCGTCAGTCAAATGGGCCCCAATGATAGTCAAGCAGTTTCGGAAAACTTCTCCCCCCTGGAATCCTTTCCCAATATTTCTGGGTCGACAGAATGGTGTTCCAACGAGATCTTTAAAGCTCTCTGTATCCAATCGGTTCCGCTCATGCGCAGAGACGATGCCGAGTTTGCCCTGCACATATCGCAGGACTTGACAACCCTGAACGATGAATTTCTCAATTTGGATGATTCAGGTAGGGGTCCAGTTCCTCTCGACCTAGGCTCTGAGTTTCTTGGATTGCCATTGACATGGCCAGGCACTGCAGGAGATACCCACCCGACTGGCTACGAGGCCGAAGATACATCCTCATCTAGGCCGGCATGCAACAAAAGCTGTACTGAAGTTATCTCCCGGCTATTCCCAGAACTTTTCTGTTCCTTTGACAGCAGATGCGAGCGCAGCCAGCCGCAAGGCGAATCATTGGTCAATATCATTGCCAGCAATGAGAGTATGTCGGAAGCCATGAATAGCATTCTCGAGTGCGAGTGTAGCCAAGATATCCACGTGCTATTCGTTGTTGGACTATGCACCTCGAAAGTCATGTCTTTCTATCTCAAAGCAATGCGACGTGAGTGTCTCAAGGATGCACAGCGAGCCGGCGACTCATATGCCACGAACGACCATCAGCGAAGCGCACTAGACGTAGAAGGCGGTGATTCCAAAGCCGAGATAATGGCAGCTCACATGGTCCTCGGCGGACTCCATCGCATACAGCAACTTCTGGCTCGTCTATCTGATCGTCTCAAGCAGACAGAGCCGGAAGGTGATCTTGCCAACGACTATGCTGGGCCAGGAGGACTTACAGGAAATGAGTTGCGGAATCCATTTCCTGCCTCAATGCTTCAACAACTTGAGCACAGCTTGCGAGCTCATCTTCGCTATGTTTTTGCAGTATGCCATGCGCGGCTTGGGGCGCATAACGATAATCCATTATCTACATGGACCACACAATGCAGTGTCGAGTGCAGAAGGTGATGCACGGAAGAGATATTTCTTTACACATTTAAGCCAGGCATACATGGGGAACCGTTAGGCTGCATAGATGCAGAGGTATATGGGTATGGCATACTGTATGGTATCCCCCAGAGGGAATGGTGTTTTTGGTGCTCAATGAAATCAATAGGTTCTGACCAGAACGTCTGTGTAAGGCCCACCGCCTTCGATTTGGGCAGTGGAATTGATACCATCTAGTAATTCTAGCGGTGATCATCCGAGTATACTATGCGAGCATGTGTGACATGAACGAGTGAATACATGTTGATCACGTGACCCTACGATTTGCTTCTGTGCAGTGTATGCTACTTTTTCGAAGATGGCCAGCAAAACGGGCGGCTTTGAATAAGCTGATCCAGATCCATGGCCAGTTCTCAATTGGATTTTGGATATTCTTGGAGTGACATAATTGGTTCGGTCAAATTAACGAAGTCGGTGCGTGATCCTATGGGTGTGCGTACGCGTTCGTGGCAGCCGATCTGCAGATCAATCAAAATCAATAAGTGCACTCAAGTATTTTGATAGATGACACAATCCCACGGCCCGGGGAAATATTGAACTACATTGCACAAACGCACAGACTTCAGGCCTGACGAGTGTGGAAGTGTGGAGTATGAGATCATTCTCGCTAAAGAGAGGGGGGGGCGAATCACTTTACTTTGATGGCGGATAACTAGTTTACCGGCCGTTTCAAGAGCCTGTGCTAACGTCAAGATAAGCGTCTACTACAACGTAGATGTTTGTTGCGGGACCTCATCATCAACAAACTGCGTTGTCCGAGGAGAGACGAAGGAGAGAGAAAAGAAAGGTCTAGGTATTGCGCGCGCAGCTCTTTGGTGGAAATTGCCAAAAGAGGACTAGTAGCATGGACCCTTTGATCATGTGAAACGGAAGCTGTAGCTGCAAGTAGATCCCCAAGTGTGCAAGGGTCCAAGTGATTAAACATGGGGAAACATTCGCCTGGCTGAATCAATTAATCCGCAAAGAGAGAGACGGAGAGACGGGAGAGGGGGCGCGACTTCGGAAAGCCCAGACGTCCGTATTTCCAGCCAGCCACCCCCGTCTCATGACCATCACGCGTGGTCTTCTTCTTCTCTTTCCTTCTCCCCCATTTATCTTTCTTCATTGTTGGCCGTGGACTAAGGGAAAGCATGTCATCGGTCCTTATCCTACCGTGATACACAATCACCGGTCGTTCGTGTAACGACACTGCACATCCAACATGATGAAGAGCCCATCGCCATCGCCATCGCCATCGCCATCGTCGTCGCCACACAGGGCCTACCCCGCGCCAGAAACAGCCCACAGCGACACAGGATGTCAAGATGGTAATGCGCAACGGCTACTGTGGCGCCTCTACGTCTCACATACACTCTCGACATGGAACGCACGCACGTTTGAGTTTGGCGCGGTGATTTTCCTCGCCGCCATTTTCCCCGGAACCCTCTTCTTCGCTTCCTGTTATGCGCTTTTCCGGGCTGGAGCAGCCGCCGTCCTGGGGTCCTGGATAGGGCATCAGGTGGACTGCAGAAATCGACTGGATGTTGTAAGGCACAGCATCGTGTGGCAGAGACTGTCAGTCGCCGGGTCGTGCCTCATTCTGGTCTTGATGGTCGCCGGCGGCCATGGGAAAGAGAAGGGATTCATGACATATCCCTTGTTTGTCGGGAGTGTCATGCTAGCGTGTGTCGAGAAGCTGGCTTTTATTGCAAACACCATTTCCGTGGAGCGGGACTGGGTCATTGTGGTGTCTGAGAGCCTGAGCATCGACCGGCAGGATTTGAACAGCACGATGCGACGGATTGATCTCGTGTGCAAGCTCATTGCACCCGTCGGCATTGGACTTGTTGAGGGCTACTTCTCGACCAGACTGGCCATTTGGATTGTATTCTTGCAAAACGCCATCAGCGTCGTGGTAGAGTATTTTGCCATTGCTTCCGTCTACGCAGCGGTGCCAGGCCTCGCGCTCGGAAAAGCGCCGCCTCCGCCGCCGAACCATGAGCGTGATTCTGAAACAGCAGACACGCCAATGCGACAGTCGTCCCACCAGCATGGCAATAATACTTCCGGGTCAGCCCCGCGTCGTCGCACGCCGCCCGTCATTAAAACCATGGTGGCATCCCACCTGCGGCCGTGGAAGAATTATATCCAAAACCCTGCCTTTTTGGCGTCCTTTTCGCTTTCCCTCCTCTACCTGACCGTTCTGAGCTTCGCGTCGCAAATGACCACATACCTGCTATCACTTGGATTTACCAGTACCCACGTTTCGCTTATGCGCCTTGGCTCCGTTATGTTGGAGCTGTGCGCCACAGTCGTCGCTCCCTGGCTTACGCGCCGGATCAGCGCTGTGCGCGCCGGACTGTGGTTCATCAACGAGCAACTTATTTCGATTGCGCTGGCCCTCGGCGTGTTTCTCTGGTTAGACAACAAGCCCATGCTCGCTGGCGGAGTCCTGGTTCTCGGCGTGGCATTCTCCCGCCTAGGGCTGTGGGGGTTTGATCTCAGCGTGCAGTATCTGGTGCAAGAAGATACGCCAGAAGCCACACGGGGGTCCTTTTCCGCCGTCGAAATGTCGCTGCAAAATCTGTTTGAGCTGGTTTCCTTTGCCACGACAATGGTCTTTTACCGGCCGCAGCAGTTCAAGATTCCCGTCTTCATCAGCGCTGGCGCCATTGTATCGAGTGCGGCATGTTTTGCGGGTTTCGTACGGCGCAAGAGGGGCCATTTGCTACATACGGATAGGTGCTTTAAGAGAATAGGCAAGACGGGCAGATATGAGGTGCTGCCCACGATTGAAGAAGAGTTTGAAATGGAGGAAGAGGGTATTAGAGACGGATGAATTTTGCTGCGTCGAATATAAGTCACATTTTAGAAGCTGAATTGAAATATTTCCAATAATTCCCTTTTCTACCCCCTTATCAATGTGCTGCAGAGTCAATTCCCATGGCTTTTTGAACTACAAGTAAGCATACGTGTTGTTGGCCAGGTCATGATGATCCTCAGAATTAAAATTATGGACAGTGTTGAAACTAAATAAACATGCTATGAAGCATTCATCACTCGATGGTGAGCTATAGTGGTCTCCTTTCCCAACGCCAAAACAATGCCATGCTATGCAATCAAGACCAGAAAATGAACTTTGTCTTTACGAAAAGGCTCGTGAAGTAGGCGTCGAGTCCCTGACATGCAACGATGCCGCCCCGTCTATAATATCTCCTTCATCACCACTCACTCCGTGTGTCAGGGTCGTGCCTTCGTCATCGTCGGTATAATGGCCGTCCTCAACATACTCCTCTCCCTCGGCATAGTCCCCACCTTCAACACTCTCCATGATTGAGTCGCCCATGCCTGTTTCGTCGAGCGAATCCCGTGACATGTAGCTTCCTTCGAGATCCTCGCCAATATCTGACCTTTCATCTTCGCTACGGATGCTACCCGCTTCCGTGTCAACATCGTCGTCTTCGTCTTCGCTGTCTGTGAAATCGGCAATGTCGAGAGGTGGATCGCGCCAGTAGTTGAAGTCTGTGTAGGCTTCGCCACCTGCTGGAACGAGCAGTCCGACTGGGGGAAAGAAGTGATCGACAATCTCTCGCATACTGGCATACCCAGTCTTGTAAGAATTCAGAGACAAGACATCGAGACTGACTTCGGCATTGGAGTTGATGGTGAAGATGCGTGTGGATGGGATGTTGACGGAACGATAGGACAAAGCATCGGTAAATCGGTTGCCGAATCCCGCGTAGAAGGGGGTTTGGCCTGGGGGTTTGTTGAACAACTGCATAATGTCTCGGAGGCAGGCCATTTTGAAGACTTCTGGTTTCCGCAAGTAGATTTCTCTGCGCAATGCAGCAATTGTGCGATCTGGACTCATGATGACGGGGCCCTTTGGCAGACGATAGTTGTCTTGTACAACGCCATTGAGGTAGGCTCTTGTTGTATCGGCTTGTCCGACGGAGCGACTCGTCAGGTAGAAGATGTTGTAGCCATTGTTTACAATGTCTGTGTAGAGTTTGGCAACTCCTTGGTGAGTCCAGTCACGGCCAATCATGTTGAGCACATGGCCAAGGGCATCCGACTTTGTAATTGTTCCGTCAATGTCGGAGATGACAATGGGCACGTCGTGCTTCCAGTAAAACATGTAAGCCTCACACTTTGATCTATTCACTGTGAAGCTCATGGTGTTTGCGCCCGGCTTCAGATTGAGGGCTTTGAGTTGGTCACTGGTCAGGCGCAGCGTCTTTGCATACGTCTTGGTCTCATTCTTGCGCGACTCAGGCGAGTGTGGCGCAGACATGCCTAGGGCACTATCCGAATCCCTGCGAATCTGGGGGAACTGGGCCGTGTCATCACTGCGGCCGCTGTCGCTCTGGTAGCCAGGGTCGGACAGGGCGTCACTTGAGCGGAGGGCACTCTCGTTCAAGACGTTAACAGAGGTCTTTGCCATAGCGGCGGCTTTGGCCTCCTCACTGCTGTAGATCCACAGATTTCCATTTTCGTCGGCGCCGATGAGGGCACCAATATCATAGTCGCCTGCAAGCTCGTCGGAGAGGATGCGCCTGGCTATGACTTCTGCGCGCAATGCGTCCTCTTCGCTGCTCTTGTAGCCCGTCATGTCAAGCTCCAAGTCGCCAGTCTCGGTGACCTTGTTAGGGATGTTTGAGGTGAAGAGCTTCTTGGACAGCTTGATGGCGCGAGCGAGGGCTTCGCTGGGCGAGACTGGTGGGGGACTTGTTGAGCGCGTAGACCTATTCCACGCAGTCGCGTCTTCCTTGCTGATTTGCAGTGGCCCCCTCTCATGTGCTTGAGATTCATCAAAGGCTTTGCTAAAACTGTCCTTGACAGAAGGCACCGTCACGTCTGTGCTAGCCCTGTGCATGTGGAAGCCAGACCAGTCTCCCGACTTTGGGCGAGCGTAGTCGGCGTCTGCGTGCAGGTAGTCGGCAGGGGGCACCGACATGGACATTCGCCCTCTCCTCCTTGCCATGGCCGTCTCGTCGAGATCAAGGGGTTCGGG